CATCACTTCCTCTTGACATGGAACTCTACAACTAGTTCTTCACCCAACCATCATTGTGATCTTGTGTTTTCACAGTTCCTTAAGGAATACCATGCCAGACAGTACTTGTAGGCAACACTGTAGATTACATCAACTATTTCTCAATCTCTCCTAGAATGAAATCAGATCAATCTGATAGGAAATGTATGTCATGGAATTATGATGATCAAGAATGCTGCTAAATCAATAATAGTTCACACTTAAGATTACTGGACATCTTGATAATTCTCAAGGTTATTTCCTCTAAATCAATAAAATCATTCCCAACCAAGGATCATTCAAAAAAAAAAAAAAGATGTACTACATATACAACAATGATCTCATTTTCACACTGACCAACTGAGTAAGAACTCAGATACAAATGCCTATATTGGACCAGGTTACCATGGAACTCTTTCACCAGTTTTCTGTCATGGCAAACATGCCCAATTATTCTCAAATTCCAGTATCTTATCTAATTGTCTAACATTCTTTTCCTTCTAAAAGTATCATTATGAGATACTTTTCACATCATAGTGAAATCAAGTTTTTAAAAATTTAGTATTGTGACAGTTATCAAGAAATCATGCATGGAAACAATGTTACATGTTAGCTTTGTTTCTGCCCTTCCTTATCAAATTTATTCTCTTCTATTTCTTTGTTTTGCTCTGTCTTATGGTTTATTTTGTTAAGGAAAAGAATATAACAGAGTTAACTTCTATTAGTTTTCTATCATCTTCCTCTAGTAAATGGAGGATTCATTTTTAACAGTTCTCCAATGCCTACAGGATAAAATTCCAAATTCTAAGCCTATAATTCCAGACATACAAACTAGATGGAATCTATGAGCTTCCTCCTTCCTCTTTCCTTTACAACTACACTATTATTGCACTCAGAATCCTTTAAGAATAGCTTCCACTTTCCATGTCTGCTCAAGCTGATTCGACTTCCCTTTCCTTTTCCTCTACATTTATCTGAGATTTATTCTCTTTCCCTCCTTGTGGGCCACATTCAAACTGGATCTGCCCACGACCTCTTCTGTCCCTAACAATCCAAATCCAGAAGGCACATCTTCTTTAAAACTGTTTTGGTGGGGCTGGGGATTTAGCTCAGTGGCGCTACACCTGCCTCACAAGCACGAGGTCCTGAGTTCGATCCCAGATACCAAAAAAAAAAAAACCAACCTATCTTGGTGTTTTCCTCATTTTGATTCAGTATTTAACTTACCCTATGACTGACTTTTCTCCTTAACTATGCAATAAAAATGGGCCGATATTTCTACATCACTGGACTCACTGACTTGCATACTGTGTTGTAAACATTCAATACATATTTGCTGATTAACACAAGAATTGGAAGACAAAAATAACACCTGTATTACAAATTAAGTATATCAATTTTATTACCTGCAATCTGTGCCATAATAAGTTAACAAGTCCTACTTTTATGTAATCATGCTTGTCAACAACTACAGTTCATATGTCAGGTATCAGATAAAATTACCAATTGAATGCAGCCATAACATTGTTCTCTTTTGGGCCGGGGATTTAGCTCAGTGGTTCTGGGGCCTGCCACGCAAGCACCAAGTCCCAGGTTCGATCCCTGGTACCAAAAAAAAAGGACAACATTGTTCTCTTTTATCAACTAATCAGATTGCAATTGTTTCTTCATTGTCTGACACACACACCCCACCCCGCCCATGCATGTGCAGGTTTCATGAGAGCAAAGATCTGCCTTGTTCACCATCATATTCCCAAGGCCTAATTACACAGTAGTTTGTTAAGTCAATCCACCCATCCTTCCCTCCCTAGGTAACCAGCCAAGCAACACTGTACCACTGGCTTCCAGGGCCTCAAATAGCAGTTGTGGTCATTCGAGCTAAGATACGGTTTTTCACTCTACCCCAAAAAGACTCCCACTTGTGCAAGTCTCATCTTTTGTATCTGGGAGAGATTTTTTTTTTTAATCCCAACCATTTTTTTTAATGATCATTTAGCTCATGTACAACATGACAAACTCCATAATTCCAAATGTTTCATCTTCTTTCATATTAATTCAGCCTATATATTAAAACAGTGGAAATGTCCCCTACATCTATTTAATTTACAGGAATTTAATTATTATCTTCAGTAAAGAGGCAGGGAAAAAAGAAAAAGAAACGATTCATGCAGAGCCAGCAGAGTATTGACTTCTACTCAATAGGTATATGCTTCACAGCACAAAATAGGCGCTAGATTTCTGCTGTCCCTTTGATCAATCTCAGTTCTTAAAGCCTTCATACATAAGCAATCTAGTTCATAAGTGCTAAAAATAATAAATAGTACGCTGTTTCAACACTGCGCAAAAACTGGCTGTGTTGGGCTTCTGAGAAATCATTATGTCTGTCAGTCTCTGGTACTCCTTCCTGGGGTACTTTGAGAGTACTCAATTTTCAGCTTATCCATCAACTTCAAAACTGACATCTGCATGAGATGCAATGGTACTATATATTGGGGTGGGTTGCTTACTTGATCCCCAAGTTTCTTCTCAACTACAGGCATATTTAGGTAACTATAGCCCAATGGGCTTAGAGCTACCACTATGAAAAAGCCCAAACACCTGTTTCTCCCTGTCTCAGTAATGTCTACATGGGAGGAGTTACCATTTAAAACTTAAGAAATATGCATAGAACGACAAATGTGGAAATGTGGAAAGGAGTAGTACCAGAGACCTTCCTATACACAACACTAAGTTACTACTACAATCATTAGACACAAACAAGCAAGGCACACCCATTCTAGAAAAGTAAGGTCTAATTCCAAATCACAACACACAGAATAGTAAAAGGGAAGCCTACAATATCTGTCTTAACATTATCAGTTATATATACACGAGGTGACAAGTGATCATTAACGAGAGAAATGGCTTCTTTCCAGATTCTAGTTAATCCCTACTATCATGAGAATCTCTCTCCAAAGTCCCAGCCCAACCCCAAAGATATCACCTAAGAAGTACATGAGCCATATGTAGTCCTTGTGTAGGCTGACTTACATTTCCTCTCCTTCACATAACAGATGTAGGTGAATTCTTGTAAGTTAAATGAACAAAAGAGAGGGTTTCACTCAGATAGAGGTGGAGTAGATGGTGGCTTTTTTTATTAATTCTAATTGAGTAAATTATCATCTCAATTACACCTGGTTAGATGTCAAGAAGGATGTAGTCACAAGAAATTTATGCCCCCCCCAAAGAGCAAGAGGGAGCTTCTTGCTGAACTATAGAGGGAAAAAAAGATTAAAATATCCTAGCAACTTTACTATCTTTCCTTTGAGAAGCTGTTTCTCCTCCACTCCTGCTATGTGATTTTGATGGGGCTGCCAATCAAGTACCCTATCAGCCTAACCAGAAGAGTAAGCACATATTTTCATGTCCAATCTGGACAATCAGGGTCCTTCCCTGGAATTCTTAAGTATTGAAAACAGGAGCTTTCTTTCTACTGGACGGTACATAAACTTGCAGGACATAACACAGGAGTTGTCTGGAGTCTGTCTTTCTGATGTTTATTTAATAGAATAGAATGAGGCTTGCAATGAGAGAAGCCGAGATGGGGACTAAGGAATTAGAAGGACTTTTGTGTGTGTGGGAGGGAGGGGGATACACAAGAATATCATTTAGTGATTTTGTGGCACCCTCGCTCTGCCCAGGTTTGTGAGCCAATAAATCTCTTTGTTCAAGCTCAAATGAATAGCAGAAAGAGCCTTGACTTAAAAAGTGTTATTGCTACTAGAATAAATCTAAGACATTCATTAACAATGAGAAATACAAGGCAAATCTGGCCAAAACACAGAATGCACTTCAAGATAATTCAAACAATTCAGGAATCAGTTTAGAATAGAGCAGCTTGATTTTACAAATATACACAGAGGACGCTTGAGGTAGTGGATCAATGTAAGATGCCATTTCAACTCTACGAAACCTATAGAGAGATCAGAAGTTAGATGCATTATTAAGTTCAAAAGACCTCAATTCTCATTCATATATAAAACTGACATTTGATGTCACAATCGTTGAAATGTCTATGGAATAGTAGAGCAGTTAAGAATCACCAAAATACCCCAATATTCTGGAAGACAGAATTTCCTGCTAGTGGTTGTCCAAATGTACAAAAGAAACACATAAAGGAAAATCAATATATTATTTTGCTATACAACTGTAAAGAATTCTCTCACACATAACTATTTTTCTTCAACCACATGAAGCCCAATAGTTCAAAAAATTTCCCCATTATCTTTATTGTGCATTCTATGGAACAGGCCAGCTATTGCTAGAGGATTCAATACCTACTCTCTGCTTAATTTTATTCATGAGCAAATCCATGTCTTACACAAACACGTAGATCCTCCATCCTCACATTAGATATACTTCAAACACACGAGTGGAACACAGACATATACACAAATGGGATGAAATTATCTCCCAAACACAGTCGTCCATAATAAAGTTGGCACGAAAGCTAACATGTTTATTTTTCCTGTGTATCTGCGTGTTTGTTTGGGGTGGGAGAGTGTGGTGGAGTGGGCAGTGCAGAAAGCCTTGCTGTGTACTCTAAAAGAGTCTACGGAGTGGAGGGGACAGAGGGGACCTGCCTGGTTGGAGAAGGCTCCCAATATGTTCCAAATAACCCAATGCCCCGCCTACCACATCCTACCCTAAGCTCCTTTAAGGCACACCGCTTTTGTACACCCAAACACTTTGGACAGCTATTTCCCTCCTTCCCAAGTGCCACACCTGGAAAACTAGCCTTGCAAGGCACAGGAGTGACCTCGAACTTTAGAAGACCCACTTTTCATCCTGTTGTCATCACTCTGAGATACACCTTGCAGGAAACCAGGCAGGACCAACCCGCAGGACTCACATCAATCCTGAGAGGCGGCCACCTCCATCCCGACTGGCGGGCTGCACACCTGTCCCGCCCGAAAGAAGGGTGGGGGTGGGGGGTCACCCACCTGCTGGCCTCATGGTCGGGGGCGTGGGCGCCGTGTCCCTCAGCCTCGTATTCGTTTGGAACCGACAAGTGAAACTGCCTGACCCAGTTTCAGGTCACGACCCTCCGCCCCAGTCACCCCGCCTGGCTGTGGGCCCCGTCCAGTTAGCCTGTGGCGGGCTGCTCTGTCAACTCCGGAGGCCGCGCCACTGTCGCACAGGAGAAGGTACAGGGAGGGACTCAAGAGAGATGGCGCTTGCTCCCCTCCCAACCTGGGTGCAGCTCCTCGCCCCAGGGACCTCCCCACTGGCCCGCTCTCCAAACAAGCTTTACCTAAGCTGGCAGCAATTCCGGCCCAGGACCCCCGGTTCACGTGACCCGGCCCCCTGCTCTCGCTTCACGCATGCGCAATACTCTATCGCTAGTGGCCAGGCTTCCGCTTTCTTGCTGTCCCCGCCCTCTCTCCTGGGCGGTCCGCCGTCTACACCACGCCCCTATTTAAAGGGCCAGTCTTAGCTGACGGACTTGGTTGAGTGATTAGTATATTGGGGACCGGGAGTTTGGAAATTTCATAGGTAGAGGCGCAGACCAATAAACAGCTGTCCTTGAGATTAGAGAAAAAAGTCTTTCAGCTCTAAGTTAGGGAATTCACCTGGCCTTCGAAAAAAAGTACTGTGCCTTAAGCCCTCCCAGAAAAGGTCCAAGGGCTGTTGATTCAAGGCTTTGGGAGTTTGCAACTAGTTTAAATAAATAGATAAATAAATGTATTCTTTTAAAAGACGAACTTAGGATTGCCACTTTTAAATTTTGCCAGTAAGGTCAATAGGCACGCACTTAAAACTATTCTCTACTACTACTATTAGAAAACAATTTTCTAATTTATTTTCAATGCTGCTCAGCAAAAAAAAAAATACTTTAACATCAAAAATACAGGAGGAAGGCTGGGGATGTAGCTCAGTGGTGCTGTGTCTGTCTGGCAATTGCAAGGTCCTGAGTTCGATCCCTGGCACAAAAAAAAAAAGGGAGGGGAATTCTCCTGACATCTTTTAAATGTATTATTACAGACATCCCTCATTTAATGACCAAGTTCCTTTTCTAAAACTAGGTCATTAAATGAATTGGTCACTAAATGAGGAATATTCAGAACAACAAAATGGTCAAAGGAAACTCCAACTGATGACTGTGCTTTTATTTGTATAACTCTTACATGCAGTACTGTAATGTATAACAAAACAAAATTATAGTACGGTACAGTACAATCAGCAAAAATTACAGTACTGTATAAACAAGATGTACTGTACAAAAAAGACATTGAGGCTCTATAACAAGATGTCCAGAACTGTACAGAAAAATTGGGTTGTAATTCCAAACGACGGGTCCTAAGTCCAAACAGTCATTAACCAGGTAGGTCATTAAACAAGGAACATCTGTATTTCTCTTATTGCTACTAAAGAAAGATGAAAGCTTTCGGGAAAGATTGGCCTTTAGAGTTGCCACTGTAGATAACATTGACCCCAGAACACAGATCTTCTCTCACTGGACCTATGATGAAGAAATCAGAAGGGGGAAGAAAGAACCAAGATCACTACACTTTTGGGCCTTCCGAGGACCCAGAGGTGAGAAAGACACATTCTCACCTTCACAAGTACTGTAAGTGTAAGAAATGCAGTGTACAGACATCTTGACAGAATGGGCAGTTTAATTAGACTGATGTAAAGAAAGCTAAGGGACCATTATTTTAGGGAAACAGGTGAGGGGAAATGGTAGAACACTTCAGGGAGAAGGTGGTATTCTCTGTGGGCCTTGAAGGACTTCAGTAGGCAGACAGTAGTGAGAACACCAGCTGAGGAGATAGTGGAACCCACAGCCATCCAAAAACAAGTCTGGGGACAGCTGCTGGCCTGATGTGGTTAATGATATGGGCGGTGGCTTTCAAACTTCCCTAATCACCAATAAGAAACACATTTCAGCTGTGACCACATGTATGCATATAGGCAGTACGTGTATGCTGTGTATGACAGCAGACCTGTCTAGAGCAGGGCAGGGAGGGTGGTGAGACCAGAAATCCTGATGACAGAGAACTATTGAAAGAGCTGGCCAGAAAGGAAATGAGAAATATGAGGAGGGAGCAGGGGTGAGAGGTGGGTAGGTTTCTAACTGACCTTTTCAAAACGTCTCTATGGCAATCACAGACTTACTCTGGATAGAAAGAGAGCAAACCTAAAACTTGTGGGATATTGTAGACAAGCAGATTTCAATTCATAATAAGGAATGTTTTACAACACTTCAAGCTGCCTGTGAGATGTCTCCAAAGCAGTAGCTCTTATATGTACCCCTGTTCACAGTGGGAAATAGTGTCAAATGCTATCCTTTTGAGTGATGTTTGCATTAATTAAAAATAAAAATATTGTGTGTTTATTGGCGAAAACTTGGAAAATTCAGAAAATACATTTTTAAAAGCAGAAAATTACCCACATCTCAGAAAAAATCACTCATCGCTTTGACCTATTTATGTTGGATCTTTGTATATTTATGTTTTTGTTTGGTACTGGGGATCGAACTCAGGACCTCATGCTTGCGAGGCAGGTGTGGTGCCACTGAGCTAAATCTCTGGCCCACTATATTTACATTTTTGACAGAATGGAAATACACAGAATATATAGTTAATTTTCTCCCTCAACGTTGAGTACTATATCAACTGTCATTAAAATTATTCACAAATATTATTTTTATGGTTACATATCATTATTCATAAACTGTACCATTCTTTAACAATGTTATTGGTGGAGCTCTGATGGAGATGTACAGTGAGATAAATGTTATTTTCATGCCTGCTAACATAACATCCATTCTTTAACCCATAATCAAGGGATAATTTCAACTTTCAAGAGTTAATATTTAAGAAATACATTTTTGGGGGCCAGAGATGTGGCTCTCTGGTAAAGGGCTTGCCTAGCATGCATGAGGCTCCAAATTCAATCCCCAGCACTGAAAAGAAAAAAAAAAAGGAATGCATTTCATAGACTAAAGCAGCCATAAATAGTAATTACTCTGATGGATCTACACAAAGTAAATTGAAAACCTTCTGGAAAAGATACACCATTCTAGAAGCAATTGAAAGCATTTGCAATTCATGGAAGGAGGTCAAAATACAAACTTTAACAGGAGTTTGGAAGAAGTTAATTCTAACCTCCATGGATGACTTTGAGAGATCCAAGACTTCAGTGGAGGAAGTAACTGCAGATGTGGTGGAAAGAGCAAGAGAAATGGAATTGGAAGTGGGGCCTGAAAATGTGACTGCACTGCTGCAATCACGTAATGAAACTTTAACAGATGAGAAGTTCTCCTAGTTGAACAAAGAGTGAGAGGGAAAGTACTCCTGATGAAGCTGTTGTGAACATTGTTGAAAGGACAACAAAAGATTTAAAATATTTAAAGTTGAAAAGCAGCAGTCAAGCTTGAGAGAATTGACTCTAATTTTGAAAGAAGTCCTATTGTGGATAAAATGCTATCAAATAGCACCACATGCTACAGAGAAATCTTTTGTGAAAGGAAGAGAAATCAGTGCAGCACGCTTCCTTGTCTTATTTTCAGAAATTGCCCCAGCCACTTTAATCTTCAGCAATCACCAACCTGATCAGTTCACAGCAATACTGAAACAAAGAACCTCCACCAGCAAAAACATTATGTTCACTGAAGGCTCTGATGATCACCAGTAATTTTAGCAATAAAGTATTTTAACTGGGATACGTACATCTTTTAGATATAATGTTATTGCACACTTAGACTATAGAATAGTGTAAATACAACTTTTGTATTTTGGAGAAAACCAAAAAAATTCATGACTCACTATATTGCAACATTTGCTTTATTTCACGGTCTGGAACCAAAACCACAGCATCACTAGATATGCCTATACTTTAATTTATTTCATTATTCCACTATTTTTGGATATGTAGGAGGGGGTCCTATTTTCACTGTTAACAGGAACATTGCCATGAATATCCTTATACAGAAGTCTTTGCTCATAATTTAAAATTATTTCCTTAGGACAGAAACCTGTAAGTGAAATTACTGATTCAAAGTCTTTGAAATCTCTTAAGTCTGCCAAATTGCTTTCCAGAAAGGTCAGGCCAGTTTTCATTCTCACAAGAAGTACTCAAGGGTGCCCATCACACATACCCCCTAGCATTTATTTTATCTTTTTAAAAAGCTTTGCCAATTTAGTAGATGAAATGGCCTCTCATTTTAATTTGCATTGGATTACTAGTGGGGTGAAATATCTTTATAAATTCGTCAACCCTTTATAGTTATTCTGAGAATGCAATTTCGCTGCCTATGTTTGGCAGTGAAATAGTACTAAGTGAATTGTTGCAGACTTATAGACTTATGAGAAAAAACAGAGAAGGGTTTAAAAAATGATTGATGTTGTCACACCAAGTCATAGCCAAATTGTATTGTGGTATACTGTATTGAGTAGAAGAATTGAGTCACCACATGTTATGTGATTAAATATGTCTGTGTTACTGCAATCAGTACAATATCCATATTGTGGAAGTAATTTGATCTCAGGAAAATATTTCTTATATTAAATCTATGATAGATTTTAATTTCCTCATTTGGTAGGGGGTTTTTATTTTTAATTTATAATTCTTGTGTTAAAGATATATAAAATCTGTAAAGCATAGAGTCCCTCCTAGTTTTGTGTTTATATATATACACATAAACATATGTATGCATGCAACATTATAAAATATAATATGAGCAAACTCTAGAGATCTGTGACAATCTTATTCCCTTATAAGGAATTTGAACAATATTCAAGTTTGAGAAATATTGTTATAGGAAGCTTCTTAAAGCCTCATTTGTAATTCTCTAGGTATAGGCATTGGGGTTTAAAAATAAAAAAGGCAAAAGTGGTGTCAACTTATATATTGGAATTTTTCTATGCAGAATATTATGATTTTCTTCCTTTTGAAAAAGAGTACCAAAGGCTATGCTATGTTTAGGGTCTAGAGAGTATGTTTTGTCTTAAAAATATACCATTCATAAAAATTAACTCTGTATAGGTCAGTAAGACCTAGACAGAAGAATGTTTGGGTTTCTTAAATTTGTCTCTTTACGTAAGATGAATAAGTTAAACAGATAGTAATTAAAACAGAACTTTTATAAGGTGGTGTTAGGAGTTAAGCTCATGAGGAAAAGTCCCATGTGGGTTACGGGTGTGTGAGGGCATGGATATTAGTGAGAGCACCCCTGCTCCGACAGAGAGGAGATGGAAGGGGTTATCATCCATAGCAGCTGCAGTCAGGTAATGTTCTGACACCCCAGGTGGATGATCTGTCCAGCTCTCCAAAGACCAGAAGAATGAAGACCACGATCCAGACATTGCTACTGCTCTTGTGTCTAGAATAAG